GGAGGCAGCTTATCCCAGCATCAAGTTTGCCCTCAACCCGGCTACTCCGTCTGCAGGTGCTGTGCACTTTGAGGGCTTACATGAAGACATGGAGCCTGAAGCCTGAGCCATAGACCAGAGCTTGTCTCCATAAGTCCGAAAAGCGGGAAACGGAATTCTTGGGATCTCGGAGAGAGTTCCGGCGACAGCTTCAGCTACATCCTTGGACGAGCTCGGTAGGTGGGGAGAAGACAGTAAGCCAAGAGTGGCAAGGGACGGAATGGTGATGGAGGTGGTGGAGATGGCGGTGGCGGTGGTGGCCGTCGCCGTCGTAGTAGCAGATGCGGTAGCACCAGCAGCAGTGGCAGTAGCAGTAGCGGTAGCAGAAAGTGAGGCGAATTGAAGAATCGTCGTGCATCTTTTGCGTGGCTCACAGAGGTCCGGACAAGGAAGAATGCCTGGTTATGTCTTTGCTTCATAGTCACAAGTCTTTATCTATACAGCGAGACAAAGTATCAAGGACCCAACATTGCAGCATTCCTTGTTGACGAGTACAACCCCCCGAGGTCATGTGGTAAGCCCTAAACTCCCCATGCATCCAAGGATAGCCACAAGGTCTTGAGGACGACGTACTTCGTGGAGAGAAGGACTCCTAGCACGGGACACATACGAGTTGATCTGTATGCTCCCGTAACATAGAAGCCAAAAGAATTACCTATATTATTCCTTAGGGCTCCTCATCATGATAATAGTGGAATGAGCCCCCGAACCCTGTTCTAATTATTAAGGCCCCTAGATTAATGCTATTATTCGTGACTGGCACCTCCTTTCTTCTCAATGCTCGATGTTCAACTTTGTTTATGACTTAGTTCCCCAATACCCAACCTTTAAACTTTTTGGGTTCTTATAATGTAGTAGTAATCTGAAAGTTTAACCTTTTATTTTCATGGCTTATTGGGGAAGTAAGATGATTCTTACCTATGCTTGTTATTGCTAATCTGGGTGCCTCAAAAGGGAGCGTTACTTCAGGCGGCGGGGGCATCTCAGGCTATATGAGCATGGTTTCAAAGGGTTGCGTTGGGGGCGCTCCCGGCCAACTTGGGCAATTCTTTCACGGACTTGGATGTAGGGCGGGGCTTTTGGGATTTTGGGCTCTGTTCATGATTCCTGCATCTGAATCGACAAGTCCTCAGCCAAACATCAATGCTTGCATCTGCGAGACACTCTAAGTCAGGGTCCCCATTTTGATTCGGGCCCTCGCGAGCACTACGTATTCCCTAGAGGACCCTAACTTGGAGAACTAGCCATGATTCAGCCCGCTGCCACACGATGACCTCCATGGCCTCTGCAGACCCTCCCTAAACCCTTGTCCCCCAAACTTTGCAGGAACCCTTGCAGGAACCTCCAATCCACAAACTCCCCGGTACCCAAAGAGCCCCAAAGAAGCCCTGAGAACTTTAGGACGCCGGCGAAAAGCAGAGGATTCTTGGGTTAGGGTCTAGGGTTTAGGGTTTAGGGTTTAGGGTTTAGGGTTTAGGGTTTAGGGTTTAGGGGTTTAGGCTGTTTAGGAACTCGAAACCATCGGATTTCAAGACCAAGGGCTGGGCCCGACGTAGGGTTTAGGGTTTAGGGTTTAGGGTTTAGGGTTTAGGGTCCTGTAAGCCTGGCCAGGATCGGGCGGATGGCCGTCCGAGTTCTGCTGCTAATCTGCGGCTCCTTCTTGTCCATCCTGCGCCATGGCAGAACTGAGTAGGAACCGGACTTGACATGGTTTCTTAGGGATGTTAATATGATTTCATATAGGGGCCTAAATCATACTATTTTGGGGTTCCTTCTTGTACTTGTCGTATAAAAAACCCACAGCCCGATTCTAATTATTAAGGCCCCTTTATTACAGGCTTCTCAGGGGGGTTTTCTATAGCTCGGGTTGGAGCTCGGGGCTCTTGGGGGCTTTGCGCTAGGGATGTTCGGGGACCGTAGAGTTTTTCATGAAATCCTTACATCCCGACACTCTGAACTCTGCACCCTACATCCATCCTAGACTCCTAGACTCCAAACAGGGTTTAGGGTTTTTGGGTTTAGGGCCCTACACCCTGAACCCTACACCCTGAACCCCACACCCTAAACCCTAAACCCTACACCCTGAACCCCACACCCTAAACCCTAAACCCTACACCCTGGGCCCTACACCCTAAACCCGAAACTCTAAACCCTACACCCTGAGCCCTACACCCTAAACCCTGGACCCTACACCCTAAACCCTACACCCTGAACCCTACACCCTAAACCCTACACCCTAAACCCTGCACCCCAAACCCAACACCCTGAACCCTACACCCTAAACCCTAAACCCTGACCCCAAACCTCAAAGTGGGAACCCCTCAGCGTAGCCCAGGAGTGGGGTTACACCCCAAGCCCTAACCCCTAAACCCTAAACCCTAAACCCCAAAACCCCAAAACCCCAAACCCTAAACCCTAAACCCTAAACCCTAAACCCAAGCCCGAAAAGCCTCGAAGGACCAGCTGCGTCCTTCTCGGGGGCTTGCAGCAGCGCTCCGGTTTTTTCATCGAGGCGCAAAGCGGGCCGTGGGTTCATACGGTTTAGGGCTTTAGGGGTTTAGGGTTTTGGGGGTTTAGGGTTTAGGGTTTTGGGAGTTTAGGGGTTTAGGGTTTGGGGTTTAGAGGGGGTTTAGGGGGTTTAGGGGTTTAGGGTTTAGGGTTTATATAGGGTTTAGGGTTGGGTTCATCTGCACCTGAGCTTTCTGGACTACTGGAGACCGCTCTCTTAAGAAGCTTGTTTGCGGGGCTGAGCTTTGGGATCCTGATATTGAAACCCGTAAAGAGTAAAGTGAAGGTTTTTTCGATCTGGGTCTACATTAGAATGATGTCTGGAGGCTGAAGAAGATGTTTGTATATACATAAATATGTATATATATATATATGTATTATATACTATATACTATATATATATATATTGCATATATATATATATATATATATATATTGCATATATTACATATGGGTCTTCGCAAGACCATGGCGCATGAGCCCAGAGATGTTCAAGACTTGTGGATCTACGAGACACAGGATTTAGGGTCGAAGCATATCGATCTAGGGGTGAAGTCTCTGAAGAGGGGGATAACAAAGCCGGTTCAAAGGAAAGCAGCCGCACCGTTCTGAACTGGCTCAGCACGTTTCATCCCAAGGGTTGTGCGCCAAATCCTGAAGCCTATACACAACATAACACACACGCCTTGTATGTACATGTAGCTAAATGGAGACCCATGGCCCGACCCGCTAAGTTTCCCTGGTCACCAAACCTGAACCCTAAACCCTAAACAGGCCCTAAACCCTAAACCCCAAACCCTAGATCCTAAACCCTAAACCCTAAACCCTAGACCCTAAACCCTAATCCCTAGACCCTAGACCCTAAACCCTAAACCAAACAACAAGGCCCTAACGATTCCTGCGGCAGGACCTGGTCTGGTGGCAGGCGCGACAGCAACCTGGGATTTCAGGCTATTTTGGGGGGTTTGCGACTTTCGGGCTTTAGGGCTTTAGGCCTCTTGAGGAGACTGGAGCCTTCTTTTGGCGACTCTCACTTTGAAGTCTTCTGGTGTGTAGGTTCGATGCTTTTTGGGGATGTTTGAGGCTTTTAGGTTAGGCCGTGGCCTGCCGATACGCCTGGATTAACTGTCTGGTGCTTAGTAGGGAATGGGGGAATGGGTTATAGGGACTACTATAAGGGACTATCATAGGGATCCATTCAAGTTCGGGACAGTTCGGGAAGGATGCCTCCTGAAACGTAAAGTCAAAAGCCAGCTTCTCAAGAAGCCACCAACTATCGTTATAGAACCCCTGTAGCCCTCTGATAGTTGTGCTTAATCTGGCGGGCCTTAATAATTACCTATACTAGTTTGGGGGTTCCTTTTCGTAACTATACTATAAAGGAGCCCAAAAACCCTGTTCCAATTGTTAAGGCCCCTACAGCGCAGCTGACACCTCAATGCTCCACCCCAAGCCCTGAAGCTCTGAAGTTCTAAGCTTAGAAAACGCCAACGACTGCAAAAACCCTAAAGCCTAAACCCTGAACCCTAAACCCTGAACCCTGAACCCTGAACCCCTAAACCCTAAACATTAAACCCCTAAACCCTGAACCCTAAACCCTAAACCCCTAAACCCTGAACCCTGAACCCCTAAACCTCAAACCCTGAAGTCCGAACCCCCTGAGCCCGAGAGATCTCCACAGGCCGCAGAGGACCGCAAGAGCATCGAGATCGTCAACGCCGGCGCTTCGGCACCCTGCTGCAAAGCATCTCTGGGGTTTTAGGGGTTTAGGGTTTAGGATTTAGGGCTTTAAGGCTTTAGGGTTTTAGGGTTTAAGGGTTTAAGGTTTAGGATTTCGGGCTTTAGGGTTTTAGGGTTTAGGGTTTAGGGTTTAGGGTTTGGCTTCTTGGGCGGTTGCGGTCTGAGGGGCTTCTAGTAGGGTGCCGGCCGAGGGATCTACGGCGGCGTCCACATGTTGCAGGACTATAGCCAGTGTTAGCCAGTCTTTTCTATGTGGCAGTTTCTTGAAAATGAGAGTCGTTTTTTCTTTCTTTTTTTTTTTGCGGTGTACTGTTGGGAAACTCCCCAACGAGACCCCTGACTGAAACTCCCAGATTGAGTGAAACAGTTGATTTTTCAACGACTCAGCATCAGCAGTTTGCCCTTGGCCCACACCCTGCGAACGGATTTCAAGCGCCCTCTGAGGCCAACTCCGAGGACTCCCATATCCAGAAGTTCAGATAAGAACCCTTTCAGCCCTAGGCTTTACAGTAGAAGCCCAAAGGGTTGGAAACACAATAGCCTCAACCCTTAAGAGTAATGTATAGGGAGTCCCAGCACTATTTGTCATGAATCCGGTTTCCAACTTTTTGGGGTTTACTATGCAATTTAAGCCCTAAGCCCTAAACACTAAACCCTATACTATACGATACTATACTCTACTATACTTTCCTCTAAACCGTACCTTCTCGGAGGTCTTGACGCTCGGCGCCAAAGGTGCGCCAGAGGATGAAGATGCTGCAGGCTGGACCCAGTGAGCTCAATATCCCTTAATTAAGGAATATAGCATAAATTATAGGGACCTTAATATTAATTATGGTTTAAGCCATATTCCTTACCCTAAACCCTAAACCCTAAACCCTAAACCCTAAGGGGTTTAGGGTTTAGGGTTTCCCCCAACGTTTGCCAAGGAAACTTCTGGGAGTGAGCCTAGACCCTAGATCTTCCCGTCGGGGTCTGTTAGACGGTTTTAGGGGTTTAGGGTTTAGGGTTTAGGGTTTAGGGTTTAGGGTGTAGGGTTTAGGGTGCCCTA